CTCACTGATTCTTGATCCCTAACTTGACTTAGGTATCGCCATTTAAATTATGATAATACATATGTAAAGAAAATGTCGCTTGACTATAGGGAAAACATTTTAAAGAGGAAAGAAGCGGAAAACTCATTCGACTATCCTTTCTTTATCTCTATAAGTCACACTTATATGTATTTTTTCTTCCTGTCTATTTTTCTTGTTCTTCCTTATCTCTCTCGCCTCTTAATTCTTTTCTTTTAATCTCTGCCAGTTTACATACGAAGACTGTTCAACTGTTCATCTCCTTAAACAGACGAACAGACCATGGAATATCAAATTTGTTTTTAGTTCGTTTAGTTTGTTTGAAAATATATATTTCGAGTGAGGTTTCCAGGAAATTGTCTTTTGGCGAATCGTGCTCTGGCGAAACGTCAAAGATTCCCCAAAATTTTGCGTACACAAAAGATGGTAAAAAACCGTTTTCGCCATGGCGAAATGCCAGTGCCGTTTCGCCAATTGGCGAAACGTCCCTGACTTTTCGCCACGGCGAATTGTCTTTTGGCGAAACGACAGAGATTCTTCTTAACCGCTATATTTCTTTATAATTTAGGAACCGCATCAGTACTTACGCCTGTTCCGTTATTAAAAACTTCTGGTCTTCGTGGTGGTAAAATATTAGGATGTCATATTCGTACTCTCGACAATATGATTCGTAATAATAATAGTATATCTTTCTTTGTTTCTAGCTGAACGCCTAAGTAATTTTGAAATGACATTAAACAATCTAGTTACAGCAGTTAATGGTATTGGTCAGCAATCAAATGGAATCTGTGCACAATTAAAACCAATAAAAAAAACTTTAAAAATAGCGAATAATGTAAGCTGTGTATGATCATGTTAAATTTCTTAGTATTTCGATGTTGAACAAGAGAATTCTATTTAGAATACAGCATTAAATACACAAACAATTAATATATCACCATTACGTTCACCATCATCATCAACACCAAAATCAATAGCAAGAAAAACACCAAATAAAAATTCTAAAATATTTATAAGCAGTTTAGTTCATTGAAAATACTATTTAGCGTACTTGTATACTGGTTATTTTTCTGTATTTAGCTGTATAATGGCATTTAATGTCATTAAAAACAGATATGACATCATCAAGATCATTTATGTGAAAAATATTATGGCTATGTATAATAAGCAAGAAATATTAGAAGCAAAACATTTGGATAAAAATGATGAGCGTTTTCAAGTAGTTAATGGTCAGTTATTATTTGATTTTTCATTAGCTGAGATTATTGTACGAATTTTTTTATTATTTTAGAAGCATTTCTATTAGCATATGACCTAGATGCCCCAACAATGGCAGCAGCAGCAAAAATACTTGAAGAAGCAAAGAAACAATTAATAAAAGATATTCGTTATGAAAAATGCATGAAACATGTATCAAAAGAAGATAGTAGAGAACAACAACAATCCGGTGAGAACGAAAAAGAAGAAGACAAGAAAGACGAAGAAGAAGAAGTAGAAGATGATGATGATAATCACTGAAAACCAGAAATACTTTTAATTGCATTTTTTTGTGTTTTAACAGACGATGAATAAGACTATTAAGACCTATTATAAATTCACGGCAAATTTTTGTTGCCTAAAATTTATTTCATTTGATTCTCCATTTCAAATTACCTAAAAATCTGAAGTTTTAACATTTGACGGTATTTTGTTTAATGATCATACAACATTTTCTTATAATGTCCACGAATTTCTGAGAAAAATCAATTATTATTAGTCTTTTGAAACTTTTATGAAATTGCTCATTGGATAAAGAAACTCCCTACGGATTCCTGTTACGGAGTCCCCGGGGATTTTTAGGGGGACTCCCCAGAGAGTTCCTGGGGATTTTCTTAGGGAGTGTTGATTAGGGCAATGCAACAATCAATTGTAACGTAGTGAATAGGTGGTATGGTATTTGTACGAACTAAAACAGCTCGCCCCGATGAGCTGGCATTTTTACTATAACATAGTTATGATAAAATACAATTTGTGTCAAAAGCATGTGAACTTTCCGCAATTCATCCTATCATCCATTTTCTTTTATGGTCCGTCGATAGAATGTACCTACCCCATATCATTTTCATCCATTCATGTGGAGATGATGTTTTCGACGAATAGGAACCACCATAGAAGTCGCTCATACACATTTTCTGATTCCCTATAGTCTGCTGCTGTCATGGGAAGCTAAAATCACTTCGTTCTAAAATCACTTTTTCATCATTGAACATTTGGTAACTTGAGTCTCTACGGTAAAAAGGCTGTAAAAATAGCTTTTAAACTTTAAAATATGTTTTACAATAAAATATTAGTCGAATTCAGGCTAAAAGCGATATTTTGAAAAACTATATTGTAGATGACCCCAGTATACGGTGTATCAGAAAAGAAAATAGAAATTTTTGGCAAAGTTTACCATAAGTTACTTTTCGGCTGTTTTGTCTGTGTGTGTTTTGTACGTGAAGCGAAAGCAACTGTTGATACAACTGGACTTGTACGAAACTCACAGCAGTATTTTAAATCACTTTAGATAAAGTCTTTTAAACGGTGCTAATAGCACTATTTATTAAGATTTTTCGATGGTCAATGGTCCAAGTCGACAAAAGCAAAATGCAGACATATTTAAAGCACAGAAACGTATTCATAACCGATCGATTCCTTACGTAATGTAGCTTTCGTTCTTTCAATCTTCTTTGATTAAAGTCTATTAGGACGAAGAGGGCAATTAGATCACAAGAATATCACCAGACTGTATTGACATGCAAAATATAAATTACAACAGCCTCGGATATACACCTGTGCCGACTTCCCTTCGAAAAATTAATGGGCGAGATCCGTCTTCTAAAAACGGATGGGTGAGACGCATAAGTGAAAATTTCAACGTTAAAGAGAAGTTCTTTGATTGTATGTTTAAAAAAAAGCGAAGAGATTGTCAAAAATTTGCATGTTTTTGCAACAGTGAGATGTTTTTCGCTGCTATAATTAAAAATTTTGAATTTAAAAAGCAAATTTTATGCAACCTTCACAAAATCGATCAGGCCGCGGTTAAAATTTTTTTTGCTGTATATTTCTCTTGGTAATGATCAAAACTAGTCTTTTTCTCGTCGCAAAAATTATATTAATTCTGTTAAGCACTGTGATTCGTTTTTCAATTTTTTTTTTTGTAACAAATCTAACAAACAAAAAAAGCCAGAAATATTAAACAATAACATTTTTAACAAAAAGCAAAAACCTTTTTAATAACAAAACAAGACGGTTTAATAATCTTTTAATATAATACACTTGTAGTATTCTAAATAAAAAATACAACTAGATAAAGAAGGAAAGAAAGAGTGACGATTTACGACCGTTCCAGAAAAAGCTTTAAAAAGAGTTTGTAAGCATGTTGCATAAGTAATTCTCTGAGGATGAGGATGAGCATAATTCTTATATTTATTCAAGATACAAACATAAATATTACATATCAAGCATGCCTTTCTTCACACTCATGAGCGGAAAAAAATTGTTTGTATGAATGGTTTGTATGAGATATCTGGATATTCATTGCTTCAAATTCATCATACGTTGTGCTTTCTAATAGATACGTCAATATTGATGGACACTGATGATAATGTTAAGAATGAAGTTTAAGTTTAACTGCAGTATTATCCGTCATTGATTTTCCACATTTTGTACACTCACCATTGTCGGCCTCAAAACACGACGTAATTGGAAGAACAATAATGGATAGCTTTCGACAATTATCATATTGATGCAAAACTATTTGTTATTGTTTATTAAATAATGAATCATCATTTTTTTTGCATTTTTGACAAATAAAAATGTTGTTATTGATGATATTAACATATTACGAATTGTTATCAATTTTCGATTCGATTTGATACATACAATAGCATCATATAAAGAACCACAATACTTACTAACAACTGGATAATCTTCTGATACTGATGAGTCAAAACAACAACGAATAATAGCATTGATGAAATTGATATCTGTTGATTCAAGTAAACGTTCTAAGATAATAATTCGACTATGCGCATATAACTGCAATAGTGGTTCACTCTCACCCATAAGTTTTGATGATGAACTTGCTAACCATATATCTTTTATTTTGGTAACACGAACGATTCTGTTTGTGTGCAACAGGTACTAAAATTCGTTTGACAATAATTTCAACTTGTTCATTCACATCATTCGATGTAAAATCTTGTGGGATCCAAAATTGAGTAGTTAATATTATGTTCTCTGTTGTCGTTTTTCTTTTTTTTGTCTTACTGTTTTCATTCATACCATAACACAACCAGGCATTGTTGTCGAAGACCCCTTGATACTCATCAGCTTTATGATATCCAATAGTCATTCATTACCCACGTTAGTCAATTGGATGAATTTATTTAAATATAGGCATAAAAAAATATGTTGTGATCAGTTTTCTATCAGTGGGAGATCCGCAGACGAAATAAAAAGATTTAGCTAATATTAACTGTTAAATCTTATTTTCACAAGCTATGACGATTGTAGTGATCCGTTTCTAAGACATCGAATTGTTGGTCATCGAGCAACAACATCTGATTTACAATTAACTGTTATTCATGGCTGTCTGGCACATATTTTGTTGAATATTCGGAAATTATGCAACAGATTTATTATAAACAAGCATGATCGTACTTTATCAATGTGGTGTAGTGCGTTACTTGTGAATACAATCAATTGAATAGATATGGTGGAAAATTGGATGATAATATGCACAGTATTTATGAACATGTATACCAATAAGGAAACTAAACAAATCATGAACATGTTGTTCGATAAAATTAGTTGTATCAGTAACAATCTAAATTTCAGAACAAGTATAGAAGAAATAACAGAAGGTGATGATAATACACCAAATGATCAATATCGTTTTGATAATACTAATGATGACGGTAATAACAATGGTATTAGTTCAACATTAAATAACAATTTAAATAGAACTATCAGGAGAAAACATAATTTAAATGCAACATTAGTGAATATCAGTTCTTGTATAACTGACTGATTATATAACTTTTCTCCCATGTACACTTTTAGATCACTGTTGATGAAGAAAAAGGACTGAATGAAACTACTTCAAAAGGCGACTATGATATTTTGACCACAAAACGGGATATATGTAGGTTTGTAGAGGAAGATTTCCTCTATCTAGTGGTGTATATATTATCAAATTCTGTTGCGTACCGTGAGGGAAAATTAAAGGTAACCCCTCTTTTTTTAGACTCTTTTAGAAATATTTTTTATATTTGAGTTAAATATTGTACATTATAGAGTAAAGTGTCCTCTACAAAATAAGACCGCTTCCAGCTTTCCAAGACCTTGCGTTGAAGAGATACAAATTTTTTAAAGTTTGTTACTTTACGCTTAAAAACATTTTTTAACTTGCGAAACGTTTTTCTCTTCCATTCAGTAGTTGATAAACTTTTGAAACAGTCAGGCTTATAAAGTAAAGGTTTCTCTACAAAATGAGATGTCTCCCAACTCTCCATTATGTTTTTTGATAGAGTTATGATCATTTTGGACGGTATCTCACAAATGCGACTTTTTCAAAGACTTCCAACAAAATGATCATAACTCTATCAGAAAACATGGTGAAAAGTTAGGATACATCTAATTTTGTGGGGAAATCTTTTCTCTACCAGACTGACTGTTTCAAAAGTTTATCAAGTACTGAACGAAAGAGGAAAGAGTTTCGAAAGTAAGAAACTAGGGTTTTTTCAGAATAAAGTAACAAACTTTAAAAAATTTATATCTCCTCAA